AAGCATGCGACCCGGACACAAGCATGCGTCCGGACACAAGCATGCGACCGGGCACAAGCATGCGTCCAAACACAAGCATGCGTACGGACACAAGCATGCGTCCGGACACAAGCATGCGTCCGGACACAAGCATGCGTCCGGACACAACCATGCGACCGGACACAAGCATGCGTCCGGACACAAGCATGCGTCCGGACACAAGCATGCGTCCGAACACAAGCATGCGTCCGGACACAGGCATGCGACCGGACACAAGCATGCGACCGGGCACAAGCATGCGTCCGGACACAAGCATGCGTCCGGACACAAGCATGCGACCGGACACAAAGCATGCGTCCGGACACAAGCATGCGTCCGGACACAAGCATGCGTCCAGACACAAGCATGCGTCCGGACACAAGCATGCGACCGGACTCAAGCATGCGTCCAGACACAAGCATGCGTCCGGACACAAGCATGCGTCCGGACACAAGCATGCGTCCGAACACAAGCATGCGACCGGACTCAAGCATGCGTCCGGACACAAGCATGCGTCCGGACACAAGCATGCGTCCGGACACAAGCATGCGTCCGGACACAAGCATGCGACCGGACTCAAGCATGCGTCCAGGACACAAGCATGCGTCCGGACACAAGCATGCGTCCGGACACAAGCATGCGTCCGGACACAAGCATGCGTCCGTACACAAGCATGCGTCCGGACACAAGCATGCGACCGGGCACAAGCATGCGTCCGGACACAAGCATGCGACCGGACACAAGCATGCGTCCGGACACAAGCATGCGACCGGACTCAAGCATGCGTCCGGACACAAGCATGCGGTCCGGACACAAGCATGCGTCCGGAACACAAGCATGCGTCCGGACACAAGCATGCGTCCCGGACACAAGCATGCGTCCGGGACACAAAGCATGCGACCGTACTCAAGCATGTGTCCGGGACACAAGCATGCGTCCGGACACAAGCATGCGACTGGACCTCAAGCATGCTTCCGGACACAAGCATGCGTCCGGACTCAAGCATGCGTCCGGACACAAGCATGCGACCGGACTCAAGCATGCGTCCGGACACAAGCATGCGTCCGGACACAAGCATGCGTCCGGACACAAGCATGCGTCCGGACACAAGCATGCGTCCGGACACAAGCATGCGTCCGGACACAAGCATGGTCCGGACACAAGCATGCGTCCGGACACAAGCATGCGTCCGGACACAAGCATGCGTCCGGATGCGACCTGACACAAGCATGCGTCCGGACACAAGCATGCGTCCGGACCACAAAGCATGCGTCCGGACCCAAGCATGCGTCCGGACACAAGCATGCGTCCGGACACAAGCATGCGTCCGGACACAAGCAATTGCGTCCGGACACAAGCATGCGTCCGGACACAAGCATGCGTCCGGACACAAGCATGCATTTCCGGTACAAAGCATGCGTTCCGGACACAAGCATGTGTCCGGGACACAAGCCTGCGTACGGACACAAGCATGCGTCACGGACACAGCATGCGTCCGGACACAAGCATGCGTCCGGACTCAAGCATGCGTCCGGACACAAGCATGCGTCCGGACTCAAGCATGCGTCCGGGACACATGCATGCGTCCGGACACATGCATGCGTCCAGACCCAAGCATGCGTCCGGACACAAGAAATGCGTCCGGACACAAGCATGCGTCCGGACACAAGCAATGCGTCCGGACCCAAGCATGCGTCCGGACACAAGCATGCGTCCGGACACAAGCATGCGTCCGGACACAAGCATGCGTCCGAACAAAAGCATGCGTCCGGACACAAGCATGCGTCCGGCCACAAGCATGCGTCCGGACACAAGCATGCGTCCGGACACAAGCATGCGACCGGACACAAGCATGCGTCCGGACACAAGCATGCGACCGGGCACAAGCATGCGTCCCAAACACAAGCATGCGTCCGGACACAAGCATGCGTCTGGACACAAGCATGCGACCGTACTCAAGCATGCGTCCGGACACAAGCATGCGTCCGGACTCAAGCATGCATCCGGACACAAGCATGCGACCGGACACAAGAATGCGTCCGGACACAAGCATGCGTCTGGACACAAGCATGCGTCCGGACACAAGCATGCGTCCGGACACAAGCATGCGACCGGACTCAAGCATGCGGTCGGACACAAGCATGCGATACGGGACACAAGCATGCGTTCGGACACAAGCATGCGTCCGGACACAAGCATGCGTCCGGACTCAAGCATGCATCCGGACACAAGCATGCGACCGGACACAAGAATGCGTCCGGACACAAGCATGCGTCTGGACACAAGCATGCGTCCGGACACAAGCATGCGTCCGGACCACAAGCATGCGACCGGACTCAAGCATGCGGTCGGACACAAGCATGCGACCGGACACAAGCATGCGTTCGGACACAAGCATGCGTCCGGACACAAGCATGCGTCCCGGACACAAGCATGCGTCCGGACACAAGCATGCGTCCGGACACAAGCATGCGTCCGGACACAAGCATGCGTCCGGACCCGAGCATGCGACCGTACTCAAGCATGCGTCCGGACACAAGCATGCGTCCGGACACAAGCATGCGTCCGGACACAAGCATGCGACCGGACTCAAGCATGCTTCCGGACACAAGCATGCGTCCGGACTCAAGCATGCGGTCCGGACACAAGCATGCGACCGGACTCAAGCATGCGTCCGGACACAAGCATGCGTCCGGACACAAGCATGCTCGTACACAAGCATGCGTCCGGACACAAGCATGCGTCCGGACACAAGCATGCGACCGGACTCAAGCATGCGTCCGGACACAAGCATGCGTCCGGACACAAGCATGCGTTCGGACACAAGCATGCGTCCGGACACAAGCATGCGTCCGGACCCAAGCATGCGTCGGGACCCAAGCATGCGTCCGGACACAAGCATGCGTCCGGACACAAGCATGCGTCCGGACCCAAGCATGCGTCCGGACACAAGCATGCGTCCGGACAGAAGCATGCGTCCGGACACAAGCATGCGTCCGGACAAAAGCATGCGTCCAGACACAAGCATGCATCCGGACACAAGCATGCGTCCGGACACAAGCATGCGTCCGGACACAAGCATGCGTCCGGACCCAAGCATGCGTCCGGACACAAGAATGCGTCCGGACACAAGCATGCGTCCGGACACAAGCATGCGTCCGGACCCAAGCATGCGTCCGGACACAAGCATGCATACGAACACAAGCATGCGTCCGGACACAAGCATGCGTCCGAACAAAAGCATGCGTCCGGACACAAGCATGCGTCCGGCCACAAGCATGCGTCCGGACACAAGCATGCGTCTGGACACAAGCATGCGACCGGACACAAGCGTGCGTCCGGACACAAGCATGCGACCGGGCACAAGCATGCGTCCAAACACAAGCATGCGTCCGGACACAAGCATGCGTCTGGACACAAGCATGCGACCGGACTCAAGCATGCGTCCGGACACAAGCATGCGTCCGGACTCAAGCATGCATCCGGACACAAGCATGCGACTGGACACAAGAATGCGTCCGGACACAAGCATGCGTCTGGACACAAGCATGCGTCCGGACACAAGCATGCGTCCGGACACAAGCATGCGACCGGACTCAAGCATGCGGTCGGACACAAGCATGCGACCGGACACAAGCATGCGTTCGGACACAAGCATGCGTCCGGACACAAGCATGCGTCCGGACTCAAGCATGCATCCGGACACAAGCATGTGACCGGACACAAGAATGCGTCCGGACACAAGCATGCGTCTGGACACAAGCATGCGTCCGGACACAAGCATGCGTCCGGACACAAGCATGCGACCGGACTCAAGCATGCGGTCGGACACAAGCATGCGACCGGACACAAGCATGCGTTCGGACACAAGCATGCATCCGGACACAAGCATGCGTCCGGACACAAGCATGCGTCCGGACACAAGCATGCGTCCGGACACAAGCATGCGTCCGGACACAAGCATGCGTCCGGACACGAGCATGCGACCGTACTCAAGCATGCGTCCGGACACAAGCATGCGTCCGGACACAAGCATGCGTCCGGACACAAGCATGCGACCGGACTCAAGCATGCTTCCGGACACAAGCATGCGTCCGGACTCAAGCATGCGTCCGGACACAAGCATGCGACCGGACTCAAGCATGCGTCCGGACACAAGCATGCGTCCGGACACAAGCATGCGTCCGTACACAAGCATGCGTCCGGACACAAGCATGCGTCCAGACACAAGCATGCGACCGGACTCAAGCATGCGTCCGGACACAAGCATGCGTCCGGACACAAGCATGCGTTCGGACACAAGCATGCGTCCGGACACAAGCATGCGTCCGGACCCAAGCATGCGTCGGGACCCAAGCATGCGTCCGGACACAAGCATGCGTCCGGACACAAGCATGCGTCCGGACCCAAGCATGCGTCCCGGACACAAGCATGCGTCCGGACAGAAGCATGCGTCGGACACAAGCATGCATCCGGACACAAGCATGCGTCCGGACACAAGCATGCGTCCGGACACAAGCATGCGACCGGACACAAGCATGCGTCCGGACCCAAGCATGCGTCCGGACACAAGCATGCGTCCGGACCCAAGCATGCGTCCGGACACAAGCATGCGTCCGGACACAAGCATGCGTCCGGACACAAGCATGCGTCCGGACACAAGCATGCGTCCGGACCCAAGCATGCGTCCGGACACAAGCATGCGTCCGGACACAAGCATGCGTCCGGACACAAGCATGCGTCCGAACAAAAGCATGCGTCCGGACACAAGCATGCGTCCGGACACAAGCATGCGTCCGGACACAAGCATGCGTTCGGACACAAGCATGCGACCGGACACAAGCATGCATCCGGACACAAGCACGCGACCGGGCACAAGCATGCGTCCAAAAACAAGCATGCGTCCGGACACAAGCATGCGTCTGGACACAAGCATGCGACCGGACTCAAGCATGCGTCCGGACACAAGCATGCGTCCGGACTCAAGCATGCATCCGGACACAAGCATGCGACTGGACACAAGAATGCGTCCGGACACAAGCATGCGTCTGGACACAAGCATGCGTCCGGACACAAGCATGCGTCCGGACACAAGCATGCGACCTGACTCAAGCATGCGGTCGGACATAAGCATGCGACCGGACACAAGCATGCGTTCGGACACAAGCATGCGTCCGGACACAAGTATGCGTCCGGACACAAGCATGCGTCCGGACACAAGCATGCGTCCGAACACAAGCATGCGTCCGTACACAAGCATGCGTCCGGACACAAGCATGCGTCCGGACACAAGCATGCATCCGGACACAAGCATGCGTCCGGACACAAGCATGTGTCCGGACACAAGCATGCGTCTGGACACAAGCATGCGCCCAGACACAAGCATGCGTCCGGACAAAAGAATGCGACCGAAACACAAGCATGCGACCCGGACTCAAGCATGCGACCATGTCCACGTCCACGTCCACGTCCATGTCCACGTCCACGTCCACGTCCATGTCCACGTCCACGTCCACGTCCACGTCCACGTCCACGTCCACGTCCACGTCCACGTCCACGTCCACGTCCACGTCCACGTCCACGTCCACGTCCACCTCCACGTCCACCTCCACGTCCACGTCCATGTCCACGTCCACGTCCACGTCCATGTCCACGTCCAAGTCCACGTCCACGTCCACGTCCATGTCCACGTCCACGTCCATGTCCATGTCCACGTCCACGTCCACGTCCACGTCCACGTCCACGTCCACGTCCATGTCCACGTCCATGTTCACGTACATGTCCACGTCCACGTCCATGTCCACGTCCACGTCCACGTCCATGTCCACGTCCACGTCCACGTCCACGTCCACGTCCACGTCCATGTCCACGTCCATGTCCACGTCCATGTCCACGTCCACGTCCACGTCCACGTCCACGTCCACGTCCACGTCCATGTCCACGTCCACGTCCACGTCCATGTCCACGTCCACGTCCACGTCCACGTCCACGTCCACGTCCACGTCCAAGTCCACGTCCACGTCCACGTCCACGTCCATGTCCACGTCAGTCCACGTCCACGTCCATGTCCACGTCGTCCACGTCCACGTCCACGTCCACGTCCACGTCCACGTCCACCTCTACGTCCACGTCCACGTCCACGTCCATGTCCACGTCCATGTCCACGTCAGTCCACGTCCATGTCCACGTCCACGTCCACGTCCACGTCCATGTCCACGTCCACGTCTACGTCCATGTCCACGTCCATGTCCACGTCCACGTCCACGTCCACGTCCACGTCCATGTCACGTCAGTCCTCGTCCACATCCATGTCCACATCGTCCACGTCCATTTCCACGTCCACGTCCACGTCCATGTCCACGTCCACGTCCATGTCCACGTCCATGTCCACGTCCACGTCCACGTTTATGTCCACGTCCACGTCCATGTCCACGTCCACGTCCACGTCCACGTCCAAGTCCACGTCCACGTCCTTGTCCACGTCCACCTCCACGTCCACCTCCACGTCCACCTCCACGGTCCACGTCCACGTCCACCTCCACGTCCACGTCCACCTCCACGTCCACCTCCACGTCCACCTCCACGTCCACGTCCACGTCCACGTCCACGTCCACCTCCACGTCCACCTCCACGTCCACGTCCACGTCCACGTCCACGTCCACGTCCACCTCACTCCACGTCCACGTCCAACCTCCACGTCCACCTCCACCTCCACGTCCACCTCCACGTCCACGTCCACCTCCACGTCCACGTCACATGTCCACGTCCACGTCCACAGTCCACGTCCACGTCCACATCCACGTCCAACTCCACGTCCACGTCCAGCGTCCACGTCCACCTCCACGTCCCCGTCCACGTCCACAGTCCACGTCCACGTCCACGTCCACGTCCACGTCCACGTCCACGTCCACCTCCACGTCCACGTCCACGTCCACGTCCACGTCCACCTCCACGTCCACGTCCACGTCCACGTCCCCTCCACCTCCACGTCCACCTCCACCTCCACGTCCATCTCCACCTCCACGTCCACGTCCACCTCCACGTCCACGTCCACCTCCACGTCCACGTCCACGTCCACGTCCACCTCCACGTCCACGATCCACGTCCACGTCCACGTCCACGTCCACGTCCACGTCCACGTCCACGTCCACCTCCACGTCCACCTCCACGTCCACGTCCACCTCCACGTCCACCTCCACGTCACGTCCACGTCCACGTCCACGTCCCCCGTCCACGTCCACGTCCACCGTCCACGTCCACCTCCACGTCCACGTCCACGTCCACGTCCACGTCCACGTCCACGTCCACGTCCACGTCCACCGTCCACGTCCACGTCCACGTCCACCTCCAGGTCCACGTCCACGTCCACGTCCACGTCCACGTCCACGTCCACGTCCACGTCCACGTCCACGTCCACGTCCATGTCCACGTCAGTCCACGTCCACGTCCACGTCCACGTCCACGTCCACGTCCACGTCCACGTCCACGTCCATGTCCACGTCCACGTCCACCGCCACGTCCACGTCCACGTCCATGTCCACGTCAGTCCACGTCCACGTCCACGTCCACGTCCATGTCCACGTCAGTCCACGTCCACGTCCACGTCCACGTCCATGTCCACGTCCACGTCCACGTCCACGTCTACGTCCATGTCCACGTCCACGTCCACGTCCACGTCCACGTCCACGTCCACGTCCATGTCCACGTCCACGTCTACGTCCACGTCCACGTCCACGTCCACGTCCACGTCCACGTCCACGTCCACGTCCATGTCCACGTCGTCCACGTCCACGGTCCACGTCCACGTCCATGTCCACGTCCACGTCTACGTCCACGTCCACGTCCACGTCCACGTCCACGTCCATGTTCACGTACATGTCCACGTCCACGTCCATGTCCACGTCCACGTCCACGTCCATGTCCACGTCCACGTCCACGTCCACGTCCACGTCCACGTCCATGTCCACGTCCACGTCCACGTCCACGTCCACGTCCAAGTCCCACGTCCACGTCCTCGTCCACGTCCACGTCCTCGTCCACGTCCACGTCCACCTCCACGTCCACGTCCACGTCCACGTCCACGTCCACCTCCACGTCCACGTCCACGTCCACGTCCACGTCCACCTCCACGTCCACCTCCACGTCCACCTCCACGTCCACCTCCACGTCCACCTCCACGTCCACCTCCACGTCCACCTCCACGTCCACCTCCACGTCCACGTCACGTCCACGTCCACGTCCACGTCCACGTCCACGTCCACCTCCACGTCCACCTCCACGTCCACGTCCATGTCCACCTCCACGTCCACGTCCACCTCCACGTCCACGTCCACCTCCACGTCCACGTCCACCTCCACGTCCACGTCCACCTCCACGTCCACCTCCACGTCCACGTCCACCTCCACGTCCACGTCCACCTCCACGTCCACCTCCACGTCCACCTCCACCTCCACCTCCACCTCCACGTTCACCTCCACGTTCACGTCCACCTCCACGTCCACGTCCACGTCCACGTCCACGTCCACGTCCACGTCCACGTCCATGTCCACGTCCATGTCCACGTCCACGTCCACGTCCACGTCCACGTCCACGTCCACGTCCAAGTCCACACGTCCACGTCCACGTCCACGTCCACGTCCACGTCCACGCCCACGTCCACGTCCATGTCGACGTCCATGTCCACCTCCACGCCCACGTCCACGCCCACGTCCACCTCCACGTCCACCTCCACGTCCACGTCCACGTCCACGTCCACCTCCACGTCCACGTCCACGTCCACGTCCAAGTCCACGTCCACGTCCACGTCCACGTCCACGTCCACGTCCACGTCCACGTCCACGTCCACGTCCACACGTCCACGTCCATGTCGACGTCCATGTCCACGTCCACGCCCACGTCCACGCCCACGTCCACCTCCACGTCCACCTCCATGTCTACATCCACCTCCACGTCCACCTCCACGTCCACCTCCACGTCTACGTCCACCTCCACGTCCACCTCACGTCCACCTCCACGTCCACCTCCACGTCCACGTCCACCTCCACGTCCACCTCCACGTCCACGTCCACGTCCACGTCCACGTCCACGTCCACGTCCACCTCCACGTCCACGTCCACGTCCACGTCCACGTCCATGTCCACGTCCACGTCCACGTCCACGTCCACGTCCACGTCCACGTCCACGTCCACGTCCACGTCCACGTCCACGTCCACACGTCCACGTCCACGTCCATGTCGACGTCCATGTCTACGTCCACCTCCACCTCCACCTCCACGTCTACGTCCACGTCCACGTCCACGTCCACGTCCACGTCCATGTCCACGTCCACGTCCACGTCCATGTCTACGTCCATGTCCACGTCCACGTCCACGTCCACGTCCAAGGCCACGTCCATGTCCACGTCCATGTCCACGTCCACGTCCACGTCCACGTCCAAGTCCACGTCCACGGCCACGTCCATGTCTTCGTCCATGTCCACGTCCACGTCCAAGTCCACGTCCATATCCACGTCCACGTCCACGTCCACGTCCACGTCCACGTCCACGTCCATGTCCACGTCCACGCCCACGTCCATGTCCACGTCCACCTCCACGTCCACCTCCACGTCCACCTCCACGTCCACGTCCACGTCTACGTCCCACCTCCACGTCCACCTCCACGTCCACGTCCACGTCCACGTCCACGTCCACCTCCACGTCCACGTCCACGTCCACGTCCACGTCCACGTCCACGTCCACGTCCACGTCCACGTCCACAACCACGTCCACGTCCACGTCCACACGTCCACGTCCATGTCGACGTCCATGTCCACGTCCACCTCCACCTCCACCTCCACGTCTACGTTCACGTCCACGTCCACGTCCACGTCCACGTCCATGTCCACGTCCACGTCCACGTCCATGTCTACGTCCATGTCCACGTCCACGTCCACGTCCACGTCCAAGGCCACGTCCATGTCCACGTCCATGTCCACGTCCACGTCCACGTCCACGTCCAAGTCCACGTCCACGGCCACGTCCATGTCTTCGTCCATGTCCACGTCCACGTCCAAGTCCACGTCCATGTCCACGTCCACGTCCACGTCCACGTCAACGTCCACGTCCACGTCCACGTCCATGTCCACGTCCATGTCGACGTCCATGTCCACGTCCATGTCCACGTCGATGTCCACGTCCATGTCCATGTCCATGTCCACGTCCATGTCCACGTCCACGTCCATGTCCACGTCCACGTCCACGTCCATGTCCACGTCCACGTCCACGTCCACGTCCACGTCCACGTCCACGTCCACCTCCACGTCCACGTCCACCTCGACGTCCACAACCACGTCCACCTCCACGTCCACGTCCACCTCCACGTCCACGTCCACCTCCACGTCCACGTCCACCTCCACGTCCATCTCCACCTCCACGTCCACGTCCACCTCCACGTCCAGGTTCACCTCCACGTCCACGTCCACGTCCACCTCCACGTCCACGTCCACCTCCACGTCCACGTCCACGTCCACGTCCACCTCCACGTCCACGTCCACGTCCACGTCCACGTCCACGTCCATGTCCACGTCCATGTCCACGTCCACGTCCACGTCCACGTCCACGTCCACGTTCACGTCCATGTCCACGTCCACGTCCACGTCCACGTCCACGTCCACGTCCACGTCCACCTCCACGTCTACGTCCACCTCCACGTCCACGTCCACGTCCACCTCCACGTCCACGTCCACCTCCACGTCCACGTCCACCTCCACGTCCACGTCCACCTCCACGTCCATCTCCACCTCCACGTCCACGTCCACCTCCACGTCCAGGTCCACCTCCACGTCCACCTCCACGTCCACCTCCACGTCCACGTCCACGTCCACGTCCATGTCGACGTCCATGTCCACGTCCACGTCCACGTCCACGTCCAAGTCCACGTCCATGTCCACGTCCAGGTCCACGTCCACGTCCACCTCCACGTCGACCTCCACGTCCACCTCCACGTCCACCTCCACGTCCACGTCCACGTCCACGTCCACCTCCACGTCCACCTCCACGTCCACCTCCACGTCCACCTCCACGTCCACGTCCACGTCCACGTCCACCTCCACGTCCACGTCCACCTCCACGTCCACGTCCACGTCCACGTCCACGTCCACGTCCACGTCCACGTCCACGTCCACGTCCACGTCCACGTCCACGTCCACGTCCACGTCGTCCAAGTCCATGTCGACGTCCATGTCCACGTCCACCTCCACCTCCACCTCCACGTCTACGTCCACGTCCACGTCCACGTCCATGTCCACGTCCACGTCCACGTCCATGTCTACGTCCATGTCCACGTCCACGTCCACGTCCAAGTCCACGTCCATGTCCACGTCCACGTCCACGTCCACGTCCACGTCCACGTCCAAGTCCACGTCCATGTCCACGTCCACGTCCACGTCCACGTCCACGTCCACGTCCATGTCCACGTCCATGTCGACGTCCATGTCCACGTCCATGTCCACGTCCATGTCCACGTCCATGTCCATGTCCATGTCCACGTCCATGTCCACGTCCACGTCCACGTCCACGTCCACGTCCACGTCCATGTCCACGTCCACTACCATGTCCACGTCCATGTCCACGTCCACGTCCACGTCCAAGTCACGTCCACGTCCATGTCCACGTCCACGTCCACGTCCACGTCCACGTCCATGTCCACGTCCATGTCGACGTCCATGTCCACGTCCACCTCCACGTCCACCTCCACGTCCACGTCCACGTCCACCTCCACGTCGACCTCTACGTCCACGTCCACGTCCATGTCCACGTCCATGTCCACGTCCACGTCCACGTCCACGTCCATGTCCATGTCGACGTCCATGTCCACGTCCATGTCCACCTCCACCTCCACGTCCACCTCCACGTCCACGTCCACGTCCACGTCCACGTCCACGTCCATGTCCACGTCCACGTCCATGTCCACGTCCACGTCCCTGTCCACGTCCACGTCCATGTCCACGTCCACGTCCACGTCCACGTCCACGTCCATGTCCACGTCCACGTCCATGTCCACGTCCACGTCCACGTCCACGTCCACGTCCACGTCCATGTCCACGTCCACGTCCACGTCCCTGTCCACGTCCACGTCCATGTCCACGTCCATGTCTACGTCCACGTCCACGTCCACGTCCACGTCCACGTCCATGTCTACGTCCATGTCTACGTCCACGTCCACGTCCACGTCCACGTCCAAGTCCACGTCCACGTCCAGGTCCACGTCCACGTCCATGTCCACGTCCACGTCCACATCCACGTCCACGTCCACGTCCATGTCCACGTCCATCTCCACGTCCACCTCCACGTCCACGTCCACGTCCCTGTCCACGTCCACGTCCATGTCCACGTCCACGTCCTCCACGTCCATGTCCACGTCCACGTCCACGTCCACGTCCATGTCCACGTCCACGTCCATGTCCACGTCCACGTCCATGTCCACGTCCACGTCCACATCCACGTCCACATCCACGTCCAGGTCCACGTCCACGTCCACGTCCATGTCCACGTGCACCTCCACGTCCACGTGCACCTCCACGTCCACGTCCATGTCCACGTCCACGTCCACGTGCACGTCCATGTCCACGTCCATGTCCACGTCCACGTCCACGTGGTCCACGTCCACGTCCACGTGGTCCACGTCCACGTGGTCGTCCACGTCCACGTCCACGTCCACGTCCACGTCCATGTCCACGTGCACGTCCATGTCGACGTCCATGTCCACGTCCACGTCCATGTCCACGTCCACGTCCACGTCCATGTCCATGTCCACGTCCACGTCCACGTCCATGTCCACGTCCATGTCCACGTCCACGTCCACGTCCATGTCCACGTCCACGTCCACGTCCACGTCCATGTCCACATCCACCTCCACGTCCACGTCCATGTCCACGTCCACGTCCATGTCCACGTCCACCTCCATGTCCACGTCCATGTCCACGTCCACCTCCACGTCCACCTCCACGTCCACGTCCACGTCCACCTCCACGTCCACGTCCCTGTCCACGTCCACGTCCATGTCCACGTCCACGTCCTCCACGTCCATGTGCACGTCCACGTCCACGTCCACGTCCACGTCCACATCCATGTCCACGTCCACGTCCACGTGGTCCACGTCCACGTCCACGTCCACGTCCACGTCCATGTCCACGTGCACGTCCATGTCCACGTCCATGTCCACGTCCACGTCCATGTCCATGTCCACGTCCACGTCCACGTCCATGTCCACGTCCATGTCCACGTCCACGTCCACGTCCACGTCCACGTCCATGTCCACGTCCATGTCGACGTCCATGTCGACGTCCATGTCCACGTCCACCTCCACGTCCACGTCCACGTCCACGTCCACCTCCACGTCCACGTCCATTTCTACGTCCACGTCCACGTCCACGTCCATGTCCACGTCCATGTCCACGTCCACGTCCACGTCCACGTCCATGTCGACGTCCATGTCCACGTCCATGTCCACCTCCACCTCCACGTCCACCTCCACGTCTACGTCCACGTCCACGTCCACGTCCATGTCCACGTCCACGTCCATCTCCACGTCCACCTCCACGTCCACGTCCCTGTCCACGTCCACGGTCCATGTCCACGTCCACGTCCTCCACGTCCATGTCCACGTCCACGTCCACGTCCACGTCGATGTCCACGTCCACGTCCATGTCCACGTCCACGTCCATGTCCACGTCCACGTCCACATCCACGTCCACGTCCACGTCCATGTCCACGTGCACCTCCACGTCCACGTGCACCTCCACGTCCACGTCCATGTCCACGTCCACGTCCACGTGCACATCCATGTCCACGTCCATGTCCACGTCCACGTCCACGTGGTCCACGTCCACGTCCACGTGGTCCACGTCCACGTGGTCCACGTCCACGTCCACGTCCACGTCCATGTCCACGTGCACGTCCATGTCGACGTCCATGTCCACGTCCACGTCCATGTCCACGTCCACGTCCACGTCCATGTCCATGTCCACGTCCACGTCCACGTCCATGTCCACGTCCATGTCCACGTCCACATCCACGTCCATGTCCACGTCCACATCCACGTCCACGTCCATGTCCACATCCACCTCCACGTCCACGTCCATGTCCACGTCCACGTCCATGTCCACGTCCACCTCCATGTCCACGTCCATGTCCACGTCCACCTCCACGTCCACCTCCACGTCCACGTCCACGTCCACCTCCACGTCCACATCCCTGTCCACGTCCACGTCCATGTCCACGTCCACGTCTTCCACGTCCATGTGCACGTCCACGTCCACGTCCACGTCCACGTCCACGTCCACGTCCATGTCCACGTCCACGTCCACGTGGTCCACGTCCACGTCCACGTCCACGTCAACGTCCATGTCCACGTGCACGTCCATGTCCACGTCCATGTCCACGTCCACGTCCATGTCCACGTCCACGTCCACGTCCACGTCCATGTCCACGTCCATGTCCACGTCCACGTCCACGTCCACGACCATGTCCACGTCCACGTCCATGTCCACGTCCATGTCGACGTCCATGTCGACGTCCATGTCCACGTCCACCTCCAGGTCCACGTCCACGTCCACGTCCACCTCCACGTCCACGTCCACGTCCATTTCTACGTCCACGTCCACGTCCACGTCCACGTCCACGTCCACGTCCATGTCCACGTCCATGTCCACGTCCACGTCCACGTCCACGTCCATGTCGACGTCCATGTCCACGTCCATGTCCACCTCCACCTCCACGTCCACCTCCACGTCTACGTCCACGTCCACGTCCACGTCCATGTCCACGTCCACGTTCATGTCCACGTCCACGTCCACGTCCACGTCCACGTCCACATCCACGTCTATGTCCACGTCCACGTCCACGTCCACGTCCACGTCCACGTCCATGTCCACATCCACGTCACGTCCACGTCCCTGTCCACGTCCACGTCCATGACCACGTCCACGTCCTCCACGTCCATGTCCACGTCCACGTCCACGTCCACGTCCACCGTGGACGTGGACGTGGACTTGGACGTGGACGTGGACGTGGACATGGACGTGGACGTGGACGTGGACGTGGACATGGACGTGGACATGGACGTGGACGTAGACGTGGACGTGGACATGGACGTGGACATGGACGTGGACATGGACGTGGACGTGGACGTGGACGTGGACTTGGACGTGGACGTGGACGTGGACGTGGAGGTGGACGTGGACATGGACGTGGACGTGGACGTGGACGTGGACGTGGACGTGGACGTGGACATGGACGTGGACATGGACGTGGACTTGGACGTGGACGTGGACATGGACGTGGACGTGGACATGGACATAGACGTGGACGTGGACGTGGACATGGACGTGGACGTGGACGTGGACGTGGACGTGGACATGGACGTGGACGTGGACGTGGACATGGACGTGGATGTGGACATGGACGTGGAAGTCGAGATGGACGTGGACGTGGACATGGACATGGACGTAGAAATGGACGTGGACGTGGACGTAGACATGGACGTGGACGTAGACGTGGACGTGGACGTGGACGTGGACGTGGACGTGGACGTGGACATGGACGTGGACATGGACGTGGACGTGGACGTGGACGTAGAAATGGACGTGGACGTGGACGTGGACGTGGACATGGACGTGGACATGGACGTGGACGTGGACGTGGACGTAGAAATGGACGTGGACGTAGAAATGGACGTGGATGTGGACGTAGACGTGGACGTGGACGTGGACGTAGAAATGGACGTGGACATGGACGTGGACGTGGACATGGACATGGACGTGGACGTGGACGTGGACATGGACGTGGACATGGACATGGAGGTGGACGTGGACGTGGACGTGGACGTGGACATGGACGTGGACGTGGACGTGGACGTAGAAATGGACGTGGACGTGGACGTGGACGTGGACATGGACGTGGACGTGGACATGGACGTGGACGTGGACGTGGACGTGGACGTGGACATGGACGTGGACGTAGACGTGGAGGTGGACGTGGACGTAGACGTGGACGTGGACGTGGACGTGGACGTGGACATGGACGTGGACGTGGACGTGGACATGGACGTGGACGTGGACGTGGACGTAGAAATGGACGTGGACGTGGACGTGGACGTGGACATGGACGTGGACATGGACGTGGACGTGGACGTGGACGTAGAAATGGACGTGGACGTGGACGTGGACATGGACGTGGACGTAGACGTGGACGTGGACGTAGAAATGGACGTGGACGTGGACGTGGACGTGGACATGGACATGGACGTGGACGTGGACGTGGACATGGACATGGACATGGACGTGGAGGTGGATGTGGACGTGGACGTGGACGTGGACATGGACGTGGACGTGGACGTGGACGTGGACGTAGACGTGGACGTGGACATGGACGTGGACTTGGACCTAAACGTGGACATGGACGTGGACATGGACGTCGACGTGGACGTGGACGTGGACGTGGACGTGGACGTGGACATGGACGTGGACGTGGACGTGGACGTGGACATGGACGTGGACGTGGACATGGACGTGGACATGGACGTGGACATGGACGTGGACGTGGACATGGACGTGGACGTGGACATGGACGTGGACGTGGACGTGGACGTGGACGTGGACGTGGACATGGACGTGGACATGGACGTGGACTTGGACGTGGACGTGGACATGGACGTGGACGTGGACGTAGACGTGGACGTGGACGTGGACATGGACGTGGACGTGGACGTGGACATGGACGTGGACGTGGACGTGGACATGGACGTGGACGTGGACATGGACGTGGACGTGGACATGGACGTGGACGTGGACATGGACGTGGACGTGGACGTGGACGTGGACGTGGACGTGGACGTGGACGTGGACGTGGACGTGGACATGGACGTGGACGTGGACGTGGACGTGGACGTGGACATGGACGTGGACGTGGACCTGGACGTGGACGTGGACGTGGACGTGGACGTGGACGTGGACGTGGACGTAGACATGGACGTGGACGTGGACGTGGACGTGGACCTGGACGTGGACGTGGACGTAGAGGTGGACATGGACGTGGACGTGGACGTGGACGTGGACGTGGACATGGACGTGGACGTGGACGTGGACATGGACGTGGAGGTGGACGTGGACGTGGACGTGGACATGGACGTGGACGTGGACGTGGACGTGGACGTAGAAATGGACGTGGACGTGGACGTGGACATGGACGTGGACGTGGACGTAGAAATGGACGTGGACGTGGACGTGGACGTGGACGTGGACGTGGACATGGACGTGGACGTGGACGTGGACGTGGACATGGACGTGGACGTGGACGTGGACGTAGTTATGGACGTGGACGTGGACGTAGTTATGGACGTGGAGGTGGACGTGGACGTGGACGTGGACGTGGACATGGACGTGGACGTGGACATGGACGTGGACGTGGACGTGGACGTGGACGTAGAAATGGACGTGGACGTGGACGTGGACATGGACGTGGACGTAGACGTGGACGTGGACATGGACGTGGACTTGGACGTGGACGTGGACATGGACGTGGACATGGACGTAGACGTGGACGTGGACGTGGACATGGACGTGGACGTGGACGTGGACATGGACGTGAACGTGGACATGGACGTGGACGTGGACGTGGACATGAACGTGGACATGGACGTGGACATGGACGTGGACGTGGACGTGGACGTAGAAATGGACATGGACGTGGACGTGGACGTGGACATGGACGTGGACATGGACGTGGACGTGGACGTGGACGTAGAAATGGACGTGGACGTGGACGTGGACATGGACGTGGACGTAGACGTGGACCGTGGACGTGGACGTAGAAATGGACGTGGACGTGGACGTGGACGTGGACATGGACATGGACGTGGACGTGGACGTGGACATGGACGTGGACATGGACATGGAGGTGGACGTGGACGTGGACGTGGACATGGACGTGGACGTGGACGTGGACGTGGACGTAGACGTGGACGTGGACATGGACGTGGACTTGGACCTGGACGTGGACATGGACGTGGACATGGACGTCGACGTGGACGTGGACGTGGACGTGGACGTGGACGTGGACATGGACGTGGACGTGGACGTGGACGTGGACATGGACGTGGACGTGGACATGGACGTGGACGTGGACGTGGACATGGACGTGGACGTGGACAGGACGTGGACGTGGACGTGACGTGGACGTGGACGTGGACATGGACGTGGACTTGGACGTGGACGTGGACGTGGACGTGGACGTGGACATGGACGTGGACGTGGACATGGACGTGGACGTGGACATGGACGTGGACGTGGACATGGACGTGGACGTGGACATGGACGTGGACGTGGACGTGGACGTGGACGTGCACGTGCACGTGGACGTGGACGTGGACGTGGACGTAGACGTGGACGTGGACGTGGACGTGGACGTGGACATGGACGTGGAGATGGACGTGGACGTGGACGTGGACATGGACGTGGACGTAGACCTGGACGTGGACGTGGACGTTGACGTGGACGTGGACGTGGACGTAGACATGGACGTGGACGTGGACGTGGACGTGGACCTGGACGTGGACGTGGACGTGGACGTGGACATGGACGTGGACGTGGACGTAGACGTGGACGTGGACGTGGACGTGGACGTAGACGTGGACGTGGACGTGGACGTAAACGTGGACGTGGAAGTGGACGTGGACGTGGACGTGGACGTGGACATGGACATGGACGTGGACGTGGACATGGACGTGGAGGTGGACGTCGACGTGGACGTGGACGTGGACATGGACGTGGACGTGGACATGGACGTGGACGTGGACGTGGACGTGGACGTGGACATGGACGTGGACGTGGACATGGACGTGGACGTAGACGTGGACGTGGACATGGACGTGGACTTGGACGTGGACATGGACGTGGACATGGACGTAGACGTGGACGTGGACATGGACGTGGACGTGGACGTGGACGTGGACGTGGACATGGACGTGGACGTGGACGTGGACATGGACGTGGACATGGACGTGGACATGGACGTGGACATGGACGTGGACGTGGACATGGACGTGGACGTGGACGTGGACCGTGGACATGGACGTGGACATGGACGTGGACTTGGACGTGGACGTGGACTTGGACGTGGACGAGACGTGGACGTGGACATGGACGTGAACGTGGACGTGGATATGGACGTGGACGTGGACGTGGACATGGACGTGGACATGGACGTGGATGTAGACGTGGACGTGGACGTGGACGTGGACGTGGACCTGGACATGGACGTGGACGTGGACGTGGACGTGGATATGGACGTGGACGTGGACCTGGAAATGGACGTGGACGTGGACGTGGACGTGGAGGTGGACGTGGACATGGACAAGGACGTAGAAATGGACGTGGACGTGGACGTGCACATGGACGTGGACGTGGACGTGGACATGGACGTGGACGTGGACATGGACGTGGACGTACAAATGGACATGGACGTGGACGTGGACATGGACGTGGACGTAGACGTGGACGTGGACGTGGACTTAGACGTGGACGTGGACATGGACGTGGACTTGGACGTGGACGTGGACATGGACGTGGACATGGACGTGGACGTGGACATGGACGTGGACATGGACGTGGACATGGACGTGGACGTGGACGTGGACGTGGACATGGACATGGACATGGACGTGGACGTGGACGTGGACGTGGACATGGACGTGGACATGGACGTGGACGTGGGACGTGGACGTGGACGTGGACATGGACGTGGACGTGGACATGGACGTGGACATGGACGTGGACGTGGACATGGACGTGGACGTGGACATGGACGTGGACGTGGACATGGACGTGGACATGGACGTGGACTTGGACGTGGACGTGGACTTGGACGTGGACGAGACGTGGACGTGGACGTGGACGTGGACATGGACGTGGACGTGGACGTGGACCTGGACGTGGACGTGGACGTGGACGTGGACGTGGACGTGGACGTGGACCTGGACGTGGACGTGGACGTGGACATGGACGTGGACATGGACGTGGACGTGGACGTGGACATGGACGTGGGCTTGGACCTGGACATGGACATGGACGTGGACATGGACGTGGACATGGACGTGGACTTGGACCTGGACGTGGACATGGACGTGGACATGGACGTCGACGTGGACGTGGACGTGGACGTGGACGTGGACGTGGACGTAGACGTGGATGTGGACGTGGACGTAGACGTGGACGTGGACGTGGACGTGGACGTGGACGTGGACATGGACGTGGACGTGGACGTGGACATGGACGTGGAGGTGGACGTCGACGTGGACGTGGACGTAGACATGGACGTGGACGTGGACATGGACGTGGACGTGGACGTGGACGTGGACGTGGACGTGGACGTAGAAATGGACGTGGACGTGGACGTGGACATGGACGTGGACGTAGACGTGGACGTGGACATGGACGTGGACTTGGACGTGGACGTGGACAGGGACGTGGACATGGACGTAGACGTGGACGTGGACGTGGACATGGACGTGGACGTAGACGTGGACGTGGACATGGACGTGGACGTGGACATGGACGTGGACGTGGACGTGGACATGGACGTGGACATGGACGTGGACATGGACGTGGACGTGGACATTGACGTGGACGTGGACATGGACGTGGACATGGACGTGGACGTGGACGTGGACGTGGACGTGGACATGGACGTGGACGTGGACATGGACGTGGACATGGACGTGGACGTGGACATGGACGTGGATGTGGACATGGACGTGGACGTGGACAGGGACGTGGACATGGACGTGGACTTGGACGTGGACGTGGACTTGGACGTGGACGAGACGTGGACGTGGACGTGGACGTGGACATGGACGTGGGACGTGGACGTGGACCCTAGACGTGGACGTGGACGTGGACGTGGACGTGGACGTGGACCTGGACATGGACGTGGACGTGGAACGTGGACATGGACAGTGGAACATGGACGTGGACGTGGACGTGGACATGGACGTGGGCTTGGACCTGGACATGGACATGGACGTGGACATGGACGTGGACATGGACGTGGACTTGGACCTGGACGTGGACATGGACGTGGACATGGACGTCGACGTGGACGTGGACGTGGACGTGGACGTGGGACGTGGACGTAGACGTAGATGTGGACGTGGACGTAGACGTGGACGTGGACGTGGACGTGGACGTGGGACATGGACGTGGACGTGGACGTGGACATGGACGTGGAGGTGGACGTCGACGTGGACGTGGACGTGGACATGGACGTGGACGTGGACCTATGGACGTGGACGTGGACGTGGACGTGGACGTGGACGTGGACGTAGAAATGACGTGGACGTGGACGTGGGACATGGACGTGGACGTAGACGTGGACGTGGACACTGGACGTGGACTTGGACGTGGACGTGGACATGGACGTGGACATGGACGTAGACGTGGACGTGGACGTGGAACATGGACGTGGACGTAGACGTGGACCGTGGACAATGGACGTGGGACGTGGACATGGACGTGGACGTGGACGTGGACGTGGACATGGACGTGGACATGGACGTGGACTTGGACGTGGGACGTGGACTTGGACGTGGGACCGAGCATGGACGTGGACATGGACGTGGACGTAGACGTGGACATGGACGTGGACGTGGACGTGGACATGGACGTGGACATCAACGTGGACGTAGACGTGGACGTGGACGTGGACGTGGACGTGGACCTGGACATGGACGTGGACGTGACGTGGATTGGACGTGGACAAGTGGACGTGGACGTGGACATGGACGTGGACATGGACGTGGACGTGGACGTGGACGTAGTAGAAATGGACGTGGACCCGTGGACGTGGATGGACATGGACGTGGACGTAGACGTGGACGTGGACGTAGAAATGGACGTGGACATGGACGTGGACATGGACGTGGACATGACGTCGTGGACATGGACTACGTGGACGTGGAACATGGACGTGGACGTGGACGTGGACGTGGACATGGACGTGGGACATGGACGTGGACTTGGACGTGGACGTGGACGTGGACGTGGACGAGACGTGGACGTGGACATTGGACGTGAACGTGGACGTGGATATGCGACGTGGACGTGGACGTGGACATGGACGTGGACATGGACGTGGATGTAGACGTGGACGTGGACGTGGACGTGGACGTGGACCTGGACATGGACGTGGACGTGGACGTGGACGTGGATATGGACGTGGACGTGAGGACCTGGAAATGGACGTGGACGTGGACGTGGAACGTGGAGGTGGACGTGGACATGGACAAGGACGTAGAAATGGACGTGGACGTGGACGTGCACATGGACGTGTGGACGTGGGACGTGGACATGGACGTGGACGTGGACATGGGACGTGGACGTACAACTGGACAGGGACGTGGACGGGACCATGACGTGGACGTAGACGTGGACGTGGACGTGGACTTAGACGTGGACGTGGACATGGACGTGGACTTGGACGTGGACGTGGACAGGACGTGGACATGGACGTGGACGTGGACATGGACGTGGACATGGACGTGGACATGGACGTGGACGTGGACCGTGGACGTGGACATGGACATGGACGTGGACATGGACGTGGACGTGGACGTGGACGTGGACAGGACGTGGACATGGACGTGGACGTGGACGTGGACGTGGAC